CCCTAGAGGGTAACTTTTGACCCCTTCCAGGGTCCCTCAGTGAAATGAAACTGGACATGGAAGATGAAGCTCGCCTTCCAAATGTCCATGGCAGCCGCATTGGCAAACTGGAAGTCGGGTGGTGGTAATCCTTATGGCGTGTGTGAGTCTATACACACCCTGCCACCACCTGTGCACTGCAGAGCCAGTATTGCTGCTGTCTACTCTGGCACTCAGTTTGCAAGCCCTACTGTTCTGGGACTAGCTGAGCACCGGCACTGCCTCTGACCTCAGTGGCAGAGAACCCAACAGTAGCAGCTGCCCCTCTCCATTGCTGGTACCCAGCTAGTCCCAGAGGAGCTGGGTTCAAATTTGGGCCCCATCCTTACTTATTACATTTCTATGAGCAGGGGATTGGGCTGTTGCTCTGCCTTGTGTGCCTTGCAGTCAGGGCAGAGCTGCCAAGGCATCAGCTGTCTCTCTCCTCTTCTGCCCCTTTCCTCCAACTGCCACAAAGGATCTCCTGGGGACAAGCCAGCCTTTAGCTAAGCAGCACTGGGATGAAGCAGCTCTTCAAGGAGGGCTTTTAAATACAGATTATAAGATTTTTGCAAAGATACTGGCAAATAGATTAATGCAGGTTCTGAAACAATTGATTCATACTGACCAATCTGGATTTATAATGGGAAGATATATGAAATATAATGTAAGACAAATTGTTAATTTAATAGAGTATTTGGATAAGAACAACCAAATCCCTGCTGCTTTAATATTTATAGATGCTGAGAAAGCTTTTGATCAATTAGATTGGAAATTTTTATTGAAAGTCGTAGAGGAAATGAACTTTGGAGACAAATTTTTGTGTGCTCTCAAGGCCATATATCAGCAACAATCGGAACAAATTATAATTAATGGAGGATTAACAGATGTATTTAAAATAGAAAATGGTACGAGACAGGGTTGTCCCTTATCCCCCTTGCTATTTGTATTAACAATGGAGATTTTACTTATTAAAATTCGAGATTCATCTAGATTAAAAGGAATAAAAATAAGTAAGATTGATTATAGGCTGAGAGCTTTTGCTGATGATTTGGTTGTGATGTTATCCCACCCAACAGATTCGGTCAGAGACTTGGTTGAAATTTTAGCACAGTATGGACAGGTCTCTGGTTTTAAGGTGAATAAGAATAAAACTAAAGTATTTTTGAAAAATATGTCTATGAAGGGAAAAGATATTATAGCTGAAGCAACAGGTTATGAAGTAGTTAATAAGATTAAGTATTTAGGAGTATATATCACAACATCTAATGGAAAATTGTATAAGAATAATTATGAACACTTATGGGTAAAAGTACAAAAAGATTTAAATGATTGGCAAAAATTACAACTATCGTTGCTGGGGAGAATTTCAGTAGTAAAGATGAATGTTCTACCAAAGTTTCTTTTTTTGTTTTAGATGATAACTATTTTTAAAAAGCATGCTAATTTGGATGAGTGGCAGAAGGGTATCAATAAATTTATTTGGGGTGGGAAGAAATCAAGGGTAAAGTTTAAGATTTTACAAGACACTCGAGAAAGAGGTGGACTTAAAGTACCTAATTTGAAATTATATTATGATGCGGCCACTTTAACTTTAGTAAGTGATTGGCTTAATTTAATAAGTAAAAATATTCTTGCTCTTGAAGGTTGGGACTTATTATATGGTTGGCATGCATATTTAATTTTTGATAAGAAAGTAGATCTGGTTTTTAAGTCATGCTTTACTTCGAGTCTGGAAGAAGTATTATTATAAGTTAAATTATAAAATACCCATTTGGGGGATTCCTGGACAAGCAATTCAGGGGGGTTCTAAGGGGGTGAATTTTGATAATATTTCGTATAAAGAATTACTTATTTGGTCGGGTACTGATTGGCAACTAAAGTCTCCAGATTTGTTAAGGCAAGAAAATATTTTACAATCATGGTTTCAATATTTGCAAATAGTGGAGAGGTGGACCTTAGATAAGAAAGTGGGAATCACTTTAGCAGATGAAAATTTGGTAATTCAGATTAAAGATCAGAAATATGCTCATATTAAAAGAATTTACAATGAGTTAATAAAATTGGATTCGGAAACAGAGTTAGTAAAAGATTGTATGATTAAATGGGCCCAGAATATTCAGGAACCAATTTTATTGGATTTATGGGAGGTAATTTGGATTAGAAATGTTAAATTTACGCAGGCTCAAAATTTGAGGGAAAGTTTTTATAAAATGTTTTATAGATGGCATCTGGATCCTAAAAAGTTGTCTTGTATGTACCCGAATCTGCAACCTAAATGTTGGAAGTGTGGGTGCTTGGATGCAACTTATTTTCATGTTTGGTGGACCTGTAAAAATATTAAAGCCTTTTGGATTATGATTTGGTGGAACATTCAAAAGGTTTTTAAAAGGAAGATTAAGTTTACTCCCCAATTATTTCTTTTGGGTATTTTTGTGGATTTTGATGCTAAAGAAACTATTTTAATGTTGAATTTAATAACAGCAGCAAGATTATTGGTGCGTCAATATTGGAAGAAAGACTCTCTGCCTTCCTTAGAAGAATGGGTATTTAAGGTTTCTAATTTAGCAGAAATGGCTAAAATTTCTGCTTATTTAAAGGATCATTCACAAGAGAAATATGTTATTGTATGGAGAAGATGGATAGAATATGTTCAGAAGAAATATGGAACTACAAAGTTTCATTTATTTTATGAGTAATGGATTTATTTATAAAATTATGATGTTAAAGTTTGAAGAGAGTTAAGGATTAGTATGATTTTGGTTATTGTGTAATTAGTAAACTTAAGTAGATTATGTTTAATATGTTTGTATAACCCTGTACTTGGCTCTGGGAAGTCGGGGTGGGGAGGGGGGTGGGGGGAGGGGTGGGGGGAGGATGGGTTGGAGGTTAAATAGGTCAGATAAGTAGAAATAGTTTTATTGTATATAATATTGATGTTTCAATTTGGAGAGAGGAATTGCTCAGGCATTTCCCCTGGACTGCATCCGGAGTGAGAAGATAGGAGGAAGGGGAGAAGCAAGTAGGAAGGTTGAGGAGAAGGAGGAGAGGGGGAGAGTGAGGAAGAAGAGGGAAAGAGTGAGGAAGAAGAGGGAAAGAGAGAAAAGGTTAGAGGGTGGATGCGGTTTGGGGGAAAATGGGTGAGCAATACCGAAAGTTGTGTGTATAAACTTATTCTATTCTTTATCTGAAGTACTCTTTATGAATGTAATGAAAAATTGAAAATAAATTTTTTTTTACAAAAGGAGGGCTTGAGAAATCATGCATGCCCCACACAGAAGTGCTCATTTGCTTGCCCTCCTGGGCTCCCTGGGACAAAGCCCTACTGTTGCAGGGCTGCAGAAAGTGTCCTTTCCTTGGCAGCCATTCAGGGGGTGTCCTTTCTGCTCCAGCTGGCACCAGGTGTCCTGGTTGAGACCCCCTCCAGAGTGGTGGCAACTCCTGTGGGCCCCTCACTGCTGGCTGCACCTTCGCAGCCTGCTGCTAGCTATGTGCCATGGAATGCTGCTGCTACTGGCCATGCTGGCACTCAGTCCCACTCTCCACCAGTTCCTTGGGGACTGGCTGGATGCCAGCAATGACTCCAACCCTGGCAGTGGAGAGCCCAGTGGTGGTGGCTGCCCCGATGACACCAGCTCCTTTGCTAGCACCCAGCCAGTCCCAGGGGAGCTGAGTGCAGAGTGGGCATGTAAGCCAAGGACCAGTGTGACCAGCAACAGAATTGACTCCACAGCTCACAGGTGACTGCAGGATAGTGGGTGCAGCCTTGCAGTGAGGAGCCTGCAGGGATTGCCACTGTTATCGAGGGGGGCTTGGCTCAGACACTCACTGCCAGGTTAGCTATGGTGGCCTTGGGGCAGAGTGGCAACCAACCCTTCCCACCTGGAGGGTGCAACAGTGAGGGGGCAGTGGGCATGGTAAAGCTGTGTAAAGCCCAGCAACCTCCCTTTGGGGGGGTGGCACAGTGCTGCACTACCTTGGGAAGGTGTACCTGGCAGGGAAGAATGGCCCAGTTTTCCCACACAGGAATCGCCGCGTCCTCCACTTTCCAGCACATAGCCTTTTGAAAAAGCCCACCACACAAGGCTGCTGCTGGCCCCAACCAGTGCTCTCTCTGATTACCCTGTCCAATGGGAGGGCAGAGACCCACCTCTTGCTGCATAAATTGGCTGTAGGGTGTGCGGTGAATTGTCCTGTGTGGCAAATCAGTCCAGGCAATTTATGTGGTGACGAATCGCCCATGATGAAGCAGTGGTGAAGGAGCAGTGGGTGAGGAGTGGCAGGGGAGGGTAGCCCATGGTTGGTTGGCTGGGGTGGGGGCAGGGTGAAGCAGCTATGTCCATTTTTCCTAGACCCATATTCTGTGGTCATGTGGTTCCAATTTGTGATCTTCCTAGGCAATCTTCAGTAAACATGTCAATTGGGGAAACTGGATTTGCTTAATAACTGTGAATTGCTTAGCAACCAGGATAAAAATTTCATTGGATCCAGTCACATGATGACACACTTTATGACCATCTTATGCATATTCCAACTTTGGTCATTTGTCAAGGACTATCTGAAATCAGAGTTCATTAGATCTTTGAATTGCTGTCTTTTTTAGATTGAATATATTGAAATAATTAATAACTCTAAAAGACAGAGAAGAAATAGCACTCAGCTGAAGCTAAGTGCTTCAGTTGTAAGTGTTGAAAGAAAAATCTTCATCAGAGTCCAGTCCAAGCTGGGAATAAACAAACTGGAGGCTGTTTGGAAAAAAAAGGTTCTTTATTGAGTTATAGAACCAGACAGAAATGTGACTCTGGAGCAGCTGACCACATGATGCTGAGAGTGGTGGATTTTTATATCTTCTTTGGGTTTGGAGTTTTTCCTGTTCCTGTGGCATGAACTTTGACCTGAGCTTTTGAGAGTGTCCTTTTGGTATTCTGATGGCAGTGGGTTAATCCTATTATGTCCTAAAGAACATGTCCTGCTTCTCTGGAGCTGTGGCTGATGGCTTACTCCTGTGTAGGATTTTTTTGGGCGAGGGGTTACTGGTTCTAATCCTATCACTCTGCTGTTGTTAGCTATCAAATCTTGCCCAAAGGATTTCAAAAGATCCTGTCTTGAATGGGTTTCTACAGGTAATATTTGCTCATGAATAGGGCCTCAGTCTTTCTGAATGGGATTATCAAATCTGCATTTCTACAGAGCTGACCTCTGCCTGGGACTATTAAGAAAAACTGGGCCTGCTTTTCTGGCTTTAAGATCCTTTGGGGAAATATAATATTCTGCCTTTTTAATATTCCCCAAAATATTTCATTCTCTGGGGGAGGGAGGTGCTGTCTTCCTATACAAGAAAAGTATGTCTGCAAAAAATCCAGTGTTTTGATGGCAAAAGTCTAATTTGCCTTGCAGATTTAAGGGCAGCAATTGGTGGATTCTTTTATTTCATTTCTCAATATCACTTGTCAGGAGAAAAAAAAAACCAGCAGCCACCAATCACTCTCTTTAATGTGTAGAGGAGTGGGTTTTTAATGACTATGGCCAGATGTCTGGGGTAAAGAGTTTCACCACATAAGAAGTTGTTTGAGTAATAGGAAAGAGTAATGGATCTTAGGTGTGGAGATACTTTTTCTGTGGACTGGCCACTCTTCCTGTTTCTGAAGATTACTTTATCAGTCTTCTGGAAAAGCACTAGAGCTTTCTGTTTAAACATGATTTTTAAGGGTGCTATACCCATATACACAAAGTCAGTTTAATCAGTCACACAGACACCAGAAAGTATAGGCTGAAACAGGAGGAAATTTAACTGATACATTGGAAAAGCACTTTCTCCTTCATCTGAATTCAGTGCCAGGAATGTACCTGTTACTGGTATGGGATGAATCAGGAAACTTAAGGAGATATTGCTCTTGTTGGTAACCCATGGAGAGCTCAAAATGGAATAGACAAAACACTTCAGCCTCCCAATATCCCCAAATTATAAAAACAAGCAATTGAAAAGGTCTTGACAAAAACAGTGGAAACTTTTAAACATATATTTAAAACAGGTTTAGTGCTCTTTCAGAATAGTGCTACACCATTGTACATAAGAATCCTATACAATTCTGCATGATATACAGATTTAACCTGTACAGACACCATTCCTGGCCTCGTTGCTGAGCATCATAAAATGGAAGTACAAGAGCAGCAGGGTCTTATATATATATATATATAAAACGAACAAGCATTGTCAGCTATAAGAAAATGTTGCAGTAATTCTTGGTACAATCCTATACCTACCTATCCAGAAGGAAGATCCATTAAAATCAATGGGATTTATTTACAGTGAATTTAGCAACCTTTCTTGGTTACATTCACATCTATAATTTCCAGCCAATGTGGCCTAGCCAAGAATTCTGGATTTGCAATCCAGCAGACCTGAAGTTTGCCAGTGCAAGGCAACCAAAAACACCCATTTCCATTCCACTTACTTTAATCCTCAGATGGACAGCTTCAACACAAGTGGGCTATCTTTCTTGTAGTACATTATAGTCAGTAGCTAACCTATTGCATTATCATTGCCAATAATACACATGCTAATCAATTTTGCCCCCAAAGAACAAAGTCTGCATTTCTATTACCTGTTGTAAACTTTTACAACAGTTTTGTACATAAATCAATATTAATAGCCTGGAATTGCAGAGGTAAGGTGGATCTTAAAAAATATTTTTTCTGGTACTTCAACCTTTGACACTTCTCACATTGGAGAAATACTGCAGAGCAATTAGCAATGATAGGCTGCCTTTCTTTCATTGGTGGTGTGGGGGGAAGCAGTTGCTTAAACAGTAGCCCTTGTTGAGATAAAAATGGTGATCAGATCGATTGTTGGCAAATGTGGCTGATGCAAATTTTATGGGGAGCGGGAAGTATAGGCTTTTCTCTCAAGATAATGGGAATAGTCTTCTCTTCTGTTCTAATCAACTTCTAAGTAGTGGAAAAGGAGATAGGATATTTTCCATGCCTCTTAAAACAGAGGAAGGTGGTAGAGGGAGATTTTTAATCTAATCTGTCAGCTTTAATAAGCATTCCATGTGTATGGAGAAAAAAGGCAGCAAGGAGAGGGAGTTTCTTAAGAGCTCTTGATTAAACAAAAGGCAAATTTTCTTGCATGTTGCAGGGACAAAGTTCCTGTCAACTATTAATCATAAACACAACTAGAACACCATCAGACATAGCACACAGCAAACAAAGTTTAGGACAATGTCCTTGTGGTCTAGCTTCTCCAACTGCATTATTATAATTGTTATTATTGTTGCTGTGATCATTATTAGACTTAAAGTTTACCTTTCTGCCCATAAAGTACCTTTAATTTCAGGATGGTGTTATAGCCAGGATTTTATTTATATTTATTTAAAAGACATGTCCATATTAGGAATCACAACCTTTGGTAGTTCATAATACAAAGTAACATAAAAAAACAAATCCTCAGTCCAACAACCACAAAAACTGTTTTCCAACATAAAGGAATTTTTCAGGGCATCAAAATGAGGAAGGTGGATAAATCAACATACACTAATCCTTACTGACTAGAAAATGAGCCCTGTTTTGATCAGAACTCCCTATTCTTCTGGGAAAGACTAGTGTGTGTGTGTGTGGGGTGGTGATGGTTATCTAAGCTTGCAGTCTTAGTTACTTAACAGAAGAGTCTGCTAGAGCCCTTGCTTCCTTTCAATAAGAACATTTGTACAATTAAAATGTTGGTCATCTGGAAGGTCTCATGGAATGTGTTTTTATTTGTATTTAGTATGTTATATGAGCCCAGACTATTTGGCAAATCATGGTTTATAGTTTAATATGTTTTGGAAACCCCACCATCTGTGATTTATTCGATAGTGGTTACAATACCAGAAATATTTGATAAGCCAGCCAGATTTTTTGCAGATCCAAAAAATTATATGGCCAACAGACCTGGCCAGTAGGTTGCAAAAGATTCCCCTGCAAATTAACAGGAAGAGAAACTTTGTCTCTGAACAGGTCTATTCTGCATTGGTGTTATCAGTCTTATTCAGAGAGTTCAGACTGACATATCCATGTCCCTAAATCCCTTTTCTTTCTTCCCAATGCAGCTGCAATATTTATATATTTTTATATAACATATGTGATTCTAATAGTTTTAATGTTATTGAAAAGAGCTTTTACTTAGTGCCATTAAACTATGAATAACTTATTTAATAATACCAGTTTCAAAGTTGATGCTAATTTCTTAGAAGCTGATTAGTAGACATCATGTGTATTACCTCATTACTCACAATGAAAATTTGATGATTCACTTCTTTGTGTAATGATATCCATCATGTGACTTCTCCCCTTGTTCCCCCTGCAGTCATCCATGTTCATACAATGTTTCAGTTGGAAGTTCTTGCAATGAAGGAAGAGCTCCAGAGAGAAACCTTTTATTAAGATCATGGCAAAGAGATTATGTTTTTCCAACTAGCAATAATATACTAATATTCTGATTGACTTTAACACTTCTACTCTCAGTTGCAGTGGCTTGGCAATAGAACTGGGCTGGTGCACAGTTTGAAGGACTGATTGATCATCTTCCATCTTCATCATCTGAAAGAAGAAAAAAGAAAGTTGCTGATCAGCCAAAAACAAAGCAGCTCAGCAATCCACTATGAAATTGCCATTTGGAGCAATGATCAACCATTGAAAGGAAAGGGGAATGCTAAGCACTGGAACTGGGAATGTCACTAGATTGGAAAAGCACAGTAGACTAACTGCTCAGAAGAGACTTACAATAGTTTAGGATGAAAAAGAGTAGCTGAGCTCAAAATATAAGTGAAGTGTGATAGATTGTACTCAGAGGATTGCATCTTGTTTAAAGCGAAGACTTTGGACAGGCTGTTCAGTTCCTCTTGCCCCATCATTCCCAATGTTTCCTGTGGTTCACAGAAGAGTTGCAGGCTTTGAAAAGAGTTAAAAGACACTTAGAACAGGGCTTTAAAGTACCACCTGTGGTACTTTGCCATGTGGCAGTGGTACTGACCATCTTAGAGAAGTGTAGTGGGGGAAGGGAATGAGCCGAAGCGATCCAAGCCTGAGGGAGAGGCAGCTGCAGCTGCAGGACTGTCTGGGCTGGCAGAAGCCCCAGGAGCCAGCAGGGCTCCAGCTGATTGGCGCTTCCGGAAGCAGCACGGAGCTGGAGGTGAACTGAAAAAAAAAGAGGAGGAGACATACTGGAGCAGCCAGCTAAGCCCAAGGAGCAGAAGATTGGCAGAGATCCAGAGAGCTCTCCCTGTGTTTCTATTGTGGAAAGCCTGGCCACATAGTCAAGAATTGCCCTACTAAAACTCCAAGGAGAAGCAACTGACAGCCCTGCAATGTCTCTACCACTCACTGCCTGGACAACAAGCCCCAAGGACAGAGAAATGAGAAATGACTCCCCCCCTCCATGAGCTCAGGGGCAACATTTAGGTAATTTGAAGAATCTGAGGCAAGGAAACCTGAAGAATAAAAAAAAAAATCAGAATTAGCCTGACAGCAAGATATGACCTGGAAAACAAGGAAATTACAGTTGTGGTTGAAGAGCGGAAACAAAGAGAAAATAAAATAATATGATAACTGAATAATGCAGTTTCAGCAAAATTCACAGTTTGGAGCAAATCAGCATAATTTCTATAATGATGAAAGTGGATATGGTTCTACCACAAGTGAAAAATCTGATAAAGAAAATACTCTGAAATTTTGGAAAACTTGTGGGAAAATAACAAGAAGCACAATGTGAATGCAAAGTGGATCAAGCAGGTTGAAAGCACTATAAAAGTGCTGGAATGGAAGATGTTCACATAACAACAGAAATGGTGCAAAAACAAGCAAAAAAGGTCAAGAACTGGAGTGCCCCTGGTTTAGATGACATGCATGGATTCTCATTGAAATCACTAACAAGTTTGCATGCAAGATTAGCAAACTAGTTGAATCAGGTTCTGAAAACACCAGAAAGCGAAAAATGGCTAAAAACTGGAAGAACTATTTTGATTCAGAAGGATGCAGAAAAGGGAAATAAACCTGAAAGTTACAGGCCAATCACTTACCTGCAAACAACATACAAATTACTTACAGGCATTATTGCAAATCAAATTTATGCATATCTGGAAAACAAGGATTTGCTGCCAGCACAACAGAAAGGGTACTGTAAAAATTTAAGAGGAACCAAAGACCAACTGATGATTGACAAACTGATTTTGAAGAATTCATAGAAAAGACAAATAAATTTGTTCATTGCCTTTGATCCTGTTCAACACAGTTGGATTGAGAAATGCTTAAACATTTTTGAAATTAGCAGCAACACTCAGAAATTCCTGAAGACTTCATGAAGTTATGGCAAATTAAGCTGATGGCCTGTGGAGAACTTGGTGAAGTTGAAATCAAATGAGGACTCTTTAAAGGTGACTCATTGTCACTTCTGTTATTTGTACTATCAATGAAGCCACTAACAAGCATTTTGAAAAAGACAAACTATGGCTATGAATTGGCAAAAAAAGGTCTGAATTTTTCTCATTTGCTTTACATGGATGATTTAAAATTCTTTGAAAAAACAAAAGCTGAATTAAGCTTACTGATGAAAAGCACTGAGGAATTTAGCAGGGACATTGGAATGCAATTTGGCATTGATTAACATGCAACTATTGCTGTTAAGGCAAGAAAAATTGTTGATCATGATGGATTCAAATTTGATAATGAAGAGTTGATAAAAGAAGTAACACCAGAAGAAGGGTGCAAGTACTTAGGAGTTTGGGAAGCTTCTGACCTGTTGCTCAATCAAATCAAGGAAACTACTTTAACAAAATACATAAAGAGATTCTGGAAAATCTTGAGATCAAAGCTGAGTGGAGGGGATATCATAAAGGAAAATAACACCTGTGCAGTGCCTGTAATATGATACTGGAATAATTGATTGGACTCAGATAGAACTTGATAACTTGGATTGAAAGATAAGAAAACTAATGACAATGCACCGTACTCTGCACCCAAAAAGTGATACTGATTGATTGCAATTGCCTAGATCTCAGGATGACATAGGACTCTAACAGGTGAAACAAACTGTGGAAGAGAAAAAACACAGCTTAAATGACTACATTAAAAAAAAAAAAGCAAAATAGCCTCTGCTGAAGGAGGTGAACAAAGGAAACCTCTTGAAAACAACAAGATTGAAAGCAGAATATTGAAAGGAAACCAAATGAGCATCAAGTTTCTAATTGGAAAAAGAATCCTATGCACAGTCAATATCTGAACAACCCTGAAGGAAAAGTAGATACAAGGCTAACATGGAACTGGTTGAGATCAGGGGTTCTGAAGAAAAAAACTAAAGGCTTCATTTTGGCTGCCCAATAACAAGCTTTGCAGACCAATTCCATGAAAGCAAAAATTCAACATATCAGTAACAACAGCAAATGTCACTTATGCAATGAGAAAGATAAAACAGTGGCTCACCGTATCAGAGGCTGCAGCAAAATTTCATAGATTGATTATCTACAACATCATGTTTGAGTTCCCAAAATCATACACTGGAAGCTTTGCCAGAAATGTGGGTTCAAATGCAGCAAAAATCACTTGGAACACCAAGTTCTTGAAAATGAACAGATCAAGATCCTGGAGAACTTTCAGATTAAAACAGACAGATAGCTGGCCCAAAATACACCTGGCATCACTATGGTGGAAAAGGAAAAAAATCTGGTTCATTGATATTGCAGTACCAGGTGATGCATGAATTGAAGAGAAACAGCTAGAAAAAATAATGAAATATTGTGATTTACAAATTGAAGTTGAGTAATTATAGAGGTAGAAATCAATTGTTGTACCAATAAAGCAATGGAGTATACCCATTGCTTTATACACGGAAATCTTGAATTTATTAGACCTGAAAAGCCACCGTACTCGGAACTGCCTATATACTCAGATGTTACTTTAACAGCTCTTAGGTCTTTGGTTAGGACTTGAACTCTTTCATTTTTACCAGTCCCAGACTGTGAATCGAACTGAAGATTAAATCAATAACAACAACAACAACAATAATATCCCAGTGAGCCACCACCTTGACATAGTTGTGGGGCTTGTGTACTGTGAGGAAGATGAGAACTATGCCAGAGGTTCAACCATACTGGACAGGTCTCATCAGAGGAGTCAGACAAAGAGTGTCTCTCTCATAAAAAATATGGTGAGACATAAATTTCAGGAAGCCATACTGACTCAAATGTTGCCCGGGTTAAGAAGGTCCGCACTAGATGTTGGAGTTCCTGGATATCTGGTGAAAAATGGGCTACAGGGCTCAGGACTGTTGGCTGAGCAACCAGGGCCAGCAGCTGTAGAACTACTGAAAGAAAAGGTGTTTCTCTTTCACAAATATTCAGTGACTGAAAACAAAGAAATAATGATCTGTTATTGCAGATCAGGTCCAACAAAAAGAGGATATCTGAAATGAATGCATCAGTTCTGGAAAGAACAACATCCAGAATCAGAAATAATAGAACAGAGACTAGCAGATCAACGTCGATTTATAATACAAAATAAAGTATTCACAGAAACCTAATTGGACAAACTGCAAACGTTTACTCAGGGCAAAGAAATCAAAGCCTTACTGGAAGTAACTCAGAATGTAGAGGCAAACCAGGGGGAGTTGGCAGTAGAGGAATCCAGCAGAGATATACAGCTGTTTTCATTTGGAAACCAGACACCTCTTCCTCAGAAATAACAAAGCCCTCTAACTAAAGAAATAAAAGAATTGAAACAAAGAATAACTGAGCATCTAGAACAGCACAAAAACAACAGAATAAGGCTGCCTACTGTGAAGCTTGTTCCAAAGAAACAGCTAGCACAGGCATTAAAAGATGCAATATTAAGTATCAGCACCAACTCACTGCAAGAAACAAACCAACTAATGTACAGCACAGCTAAAGTTATGACTGAATACCTGGGATGCAAAATCAACAAAGAACAAAAAAACCAAAATGATGCATCACAAAAATGGAAGGTTAGACTGTAAAATAAGACCAGCAAGTTAAGATCAGATGCAAGCAAGCTAGAACAGATGAAAGAAAAGAAGCTGAAGAACAAGAAGACCAAAGAATACCTAATCAAGAAATACCATTTAGAAACAGGGAAGATCAAGGGAGCACTGGAAATAATAAAGCAGCAAATAACAGCTATAGCCAGGAATATCAGCAGACTACGAAGCTTGAATTGCAAATTATAGGCAGAACTTCCAATTTCAATCCAATCAGAAATGTTTTTACTAATCCATCAATGGAGAAACTGCAATGAATCAGTCGGTACCTGACAAGGAAGAAACAGTGCAGTTCTGGGATCAGATATGGGATAACCCAAAGAAATACAACAAGGATGCGGCTTGGTTAAAAGAGGTGGATGCAAATAAAACAGAAGTTGAAATGAAAGAACTAGTAATAACAGCAGAAATAGTAGAGAAAAGAGCAAGGAAGATCAAGAATTGGTCAGTACTAAGTGAAGATGAACTGCATGGTTTTTGGTTGAAAAATCTAACTGTTCTGTACCAACTCATTGCCAAGCAGTTTCAACAACATACTATAGGAAGAAATTGA